AGCTCCCTCAGCCTCTCCTCATAGGACTTGTGCTCCAGTCCCCTCACCAGCCTAGTTGCTCTCCTCTGGACCTGCTCCATATCGGGAAGGAATCCTTCCTTGTGAGGGTGGGGAGGCCCTGGTGCAGGTTGCCCAGAGAAGCTGTGGCTGCCACATCCCTGGAAGTGTCCAAGGCCAGGGTGGAGCAGCCTGGCCTAGTGGAAGGTATCCCTGCCATGATCTTTACCCCTGGATCTTTTTTAATGTCCCTTCCAGCCCAAACCGTTCCATGGTTCCAAAAATAGAATTTCCTGCCAGCGTCAAGTACAAACTGGACCCAGACTTTTCCCTTGTCATCTTGTGTCCAGCCTTCTCTTTTCCTGGTTCCTCATTTCCAGATCCACGATAAAAACACCCCCTGGAAGTCCTTCCTTGTCATCGTGGAAGGAGCGTCGTCGAAGAACGACGACGGCCACAAGACGGAGCTTCCCGACGAGGAGTACGCCGTGTCCCCCAAGATCCCGGACAAGCTGCTGTCCTTCCCTGGGAACAGCCCCTACCAGAGCCTGGCAGCTGCCCCGGGCAGCGGGAGCGCCGGCACGGACTGTAAGTCTTCCGGAGGGCCGGGACCGCAGGAAGCCCTGATGGGAACCACCCTGAGCGAGCTCGCGGTGCTCCACGCGCAGCCGGACTCTGTCCAGCCACAGCTCCACGCCCTGGTCAACATGGAATAACTCGGGATTCGCTGCCACTCCTTGAGCTGCACCCCTTTGTATAAGCCCTTTGCCTGAGGGAAGCTGGTGGTGGGAAGCGGGTGGGAGCGGATTTTCCTGATTCCTCTGAAAATTCGTTCCACAGCTCCATCTCCTGGAGGTTCGGCAGGGCGACACTTCAGTCGCTCCTCCAGGAGTCCCTGGGAGTCGATTCCCTGGGAGTAGAAGGGGTGGCTCGGGGACCCTGTTCAGGTGGGTTTATAAAGGTGGTGCAGGTTTGTTTTCCAGGTGATTTGATGCCACGTGGACAATCAGGAGAACCGAGGTCGTGTTTCTCCTTGACATTCACTGCATTTTCCCCAGCAGAAATTCATCCAGGAGAGAAGCCGGGCCAAACTGCTTTCCAGGAAACCTTGGTTTCTCTCTGCTGTCGCCAAAGATCCCAGCAGTGAGCCAGCTCACTCCTTGGGAATACGAGTGGGAGCTTTGGAATCTCTTTCCAGGAGTTTTGAGTCTCTTAAGTAGCAAAAGGAGCAGGTGGGAGCCAAGTGCTGGTTTGTTTTTTCCACATTTCCATGAAAACTGGAGCAGTCTGGCACTTCAGTCTTCACCTTCCAGCTGCTCCAGCTCACATGGAAGTGGGCACTCAGAGACCAGAATATCTCTTGGAAAAATGTCTGGGAAAAGCAGCCATTCTGGAAAAGGTTCAATTCAGAGGCTTTTCCTGGTCAGCACCTGCTGCTCCGTTTTATTGGAATAGGATTCGGGGTATTTTCCCTGGGTGGGGAAAGGAGCCTTTGAGAGTTGTCATCTGACTGGGATGACTCTTTTTTGGGAACAGCAACTCGCTGCTGTGGTTTAATGCTTCAAAAACTCGGGATCAGCTTCCCAGTTGCCACCGTGTAAAAACCCGCGTCTTTCCCAGATAACTTTCCTGTTTCTTTTTGCCTGTCACCGTAGTATTCCCACAGAAACTTTCTCAGCTGGAGCTGTGAGCAAAACTTTGGGAAAGGTAAGCACAATCCAGCCTGGTGTTGAGGGCCTGTTGTCCAGCAATAAACACACACCCCCCCACACACACCTGTGGCACAGAGCTATTTTTGATCCTAAAGGGAGGCTGGAGGTGTTGCCATGGAATTCTAATGTAGAGGGGAAAAAAAAAAAAAAGGGAATTTTTTTTTTTTTAAAAGAGAGCATTTCCAAGAGGTTATATTTGAAATATTTATTCCTGGTGAAGCTCAGTTGTCCCCGGTGACCGATGGGGAAGAGGCTGTAGATATATTTAAATCCTGAGCGTCTGGAACTGGAGCCAGGGAAAGTTTTGTACTCCGGGAATGTATGGAAGTGAGTTACTGTTTAACTGTTCTTATTAAAATATGGGAATATTGAGACCCTTCTGGTGACTGGATGGTCTGATCGGGGGGGGGACACACTTTGGGACAGGGAAATATTCAGCCTGGAGAAGAGAAGGTTCCATGGAAACCTCAGAGCAGCTTTCCAGGATCTGAAGGTGCCTACAAGGAAGCTGGAGAGGAGCTGGACTAACAGGACAAGAGGGAATGGCTTCAAACTGAAAAAGGGGACATTTTGGTTGGGTATTAGGAAGAAATTCTTCCCTGGGAGGGTGGTGAGGCCCTGGAACAGTTTCCTCAGGGAAGCTGTGGCTGCCCCTGGATCCCTGGAAGTGTTGAAGGTCAGGTTGGACAGGGATGGTGAAAAGGGGGTGGAACTGGATGGGCTTTAAGGTCCCTTCCACCCCAAACCCTCCTGTGATTCCAAACAGGGATTGAAGGAAACGCTACACCTACTCCCCTCCATCATCACACCAGGCTCCAGCCTCTTGCCTTTCCCAGAAAAACCACTTCTCCTTCTCCTTACATCCATGATTTTCACTTTATTCATGTACAGAGTCACACAAAACATGATATTCCTGCTAAGGCCATTTCATTAATAAGTTTTCCGAGTAGAGAGTGATGGAAGTGGGGGGGGTGGGGAGGGAAATACAGCGGAGTAAGTGGCGGATTGTCACCTGGAAACGGTCACAGTTCACCATGGATACACCGGAGGACATGCTGAGCCTACTCACACACAACTAACAGGTGTAGGGGGTGTGGGAACAGACCCCTCTGCTCCACCCGCGTCCTACAGCCCCTGTGCTTAATACTGACAACAGGGAGAGGGAACAGGACAAGGCCTAAAAAATAAAAAAAAAACCACTGGGAAAAAGTGGAGCCTCCCAGCCTGTGCTTCCCCCTAATCCTGGACACAACAAAGCCACTGCTAAGGGTGGGAGTGAATTAACTACACTGAGCTGGGAGATCACCTCCTAAACCCGGGCTTTCCCCTCCACTTGGGATTACACAACAGCCTGCAGGAAGGAAGGGAGCGGGAAGGGCAGGAACAACAATAATAATAACAATAATAACAATAATAATTTGGCATGGATCAGGTTTTTTTTTGGTTTTCAGAAGCTCGGGGCACAGACCAAGTGCCACTTTCTAGAGTGACACCCACCGAGCCAAGCCCTGCTCTGCCCCAGTACCAAAATTCCAACCAAAGTGCAAACCGCCCCCCCCCAAAATTCTCCCTTTTTCCAGAGAAATGTGGGGCTGGGGCTGCCTGGACTCACCAAAGCAGCCCTTAATGAATGACTTCCTCACTCCTGGAACAGAAAACCGAGTGACAAATTGCACAGACTCCCATATATCCACGGGAAAAAAAGAGGCAGCTCGATCCTCTCTCGCTCCCCACCGTGGTTTAAAACACACCTATAAATTCCAGCAGGAATTTTTCAACGTGTCTCCGCCTTTTCCAAGCAGACTGCGCTCACCTGG